GAGAGGAGAGGAGAGGAGAGGAGAGGAGAGGGAGCCAGATGCAGTTACAGTCCATGATCTAGCAGGGACTGGGCACCAGGCATGGAGGCTCTGACAGCCTGCAAGATGGGGGCTTCCCTGCAGAGCAAGCCAAGACCAGGAGGGCAGCACCATCCCAGCATCTCCTAGGGGATGTGGGATACAAATGCAGCTCTTTCCGATCCTTCTGGGATTTGCTCATAATCCTTGAAAATGCTGTCACCTGGGAACTTTGGTCCCAGAATGCCTGGGCCTGGGGGACTCCAGATGAACATCCCCAGCCCCCAGGGACAGGTCAGTGCCATCCATTTCCACCTCCCAGCCACCCTGAATGACACAGGCCTGGCTGCTGCCCATGACATGGCCCTATCCCCAGTGAGAACCTGCATATGTGTAAGTCACTCACATTGGATCTGCTTGTGGACTACCAGGGCAAAGTGGTCTATCTCCAGGACATGCGACAGTGTGCCCAGAGTGTCTGTCAGGTGCACCTGCAAGGGAAGCCCCGTCAGCCTGTTCACTGCAGCTCGGGGGCTGTGCGTGCAACCACCAGCCCAGGCTCTGCAGAAAGTAACCCGGGGCATCAAGAGGAGCTGGCAGCCCCCTAGGAGGATCCGACCCAAGAGCTGGTGGGCATAGCACCCCATAAGATGCTCAGATGACCATGGGCAGGAGGAGCCTTGACCACATGTCTCTATGCTGCGACTTCAGTCAAGGCAAAGCCAGCAGGGTAGGAGAGGTGTGCACTGGAAGCACAGCGCTCCCAGGGCCACGCACTTATGTCCCAGACAACACTGCAAGGACTTCCCCTCCAAGGCCTGTGTAGGACAGCATGCAGGGACCTGTCCCAAGAAAGCCCTCAGGGATCTCAAGGGTCCCCTGGGAAATGTCTCCAGGGCTGGACATGCCTGTCCCAGGTGCAGTCACATATAACACCTTGAATGTGCAAAGGACCCACAGAGGTGGGGCAGGGGCTCTCAGGAGGGGAGGGAAAAGCTTTGGGGGTGACAGGCACATTACACGTGCATATTTAGGTCAAAGCCATCATACTGTACAAACTTGACATGGTCAGTGTGTGCAGTTACGCAGAGGAAGACTTCTAGAGACCTGGCGGGCCTGAAACTGGCACCAGCTACAGCTAGCAGATGCCATGCCCCAGATCCTTCCTGGCCACATGGAGTAAAAGCTTCAAAAATGCCAAGGACCTGCATCCTGGGTATCCACTCTGGAAATCCAAGGATGCTGACAATACTTCGAGGGGTATGGATGAGGTATGGTGGAGTCCAGGCCATTGCTAGATTTGGGAAAAACCTGTTGTAACATCCACATTTCCAGGCACCAGGCCTGCTGGGGACAGAAGTCAGATGCTACCTGGGCCCAGGAGAGGGGTCACAGACGCACTCACTGCAGGGCAGCGCTGGCCTTCCCCATAGTCCAGCATGGGTCTAGGAGCATGTGCAGGGGCGAGTAAAGACTACACACTGACTCAGCTATAGGTGACCGAGGGGTCAGCAGAAAGGGTGATGAGGTGCCCCCCTCCCCCTGGGTTGCTCCACTTGCAGAGGGGTGGGCGCCCTAGCCTGGGAATCCCACAGCCTGGCCTGACCATGCATACCGGCTTGAACTGCCTGTAGAGGACTCTGCAGACCTGGTCTGCTGGCCGCACCTTCCCAGCAAGCAGAGACGACAGCATGTTGCCAAGGGTCACCATCCCCAAGATGACCCTGGGGAACAGAGAGGGGAGGGGTAGGAGGTAGCTCAGACTCGCCCACAGCTGCCCTTGGGATCACAGCATCATCCTGGCCAGCTTAGGGCTTCTGGGAATCCAGCCAGTGTCAAGTCCTGTGTGTCTCAGGACAGCTGGTCATCTGGGTAGATGTGGTATGGATTCCTCATGTGACATCCTCAGAATGCCTGGCAACTGCCTCCTGGGCAGTGTCTCAGGGTCCAGAGTTAACACAGCCCCTCCCCTCCGTGGCTGTCCAGGTACAAGGTTTTGAGCACTGTATATAAAGTGACCTTGGGGACTCAGGCTGAGCTGTCCCAACACCAAATCAGAGGGTCCAGCTACAGGCACAACCTGAGAATAGAGCTCTGCCCAGGATGGCAGTGGCAGACACTGACCCGGATTCATCAACCACAGGCGCCTGGTCAAAGCCCTTCTCACGGAGGATTGCGATGGTGTGCTCACATGTGACTGTGGGCAGCACGGTCAGCGGGGCAGACAGGCTCAGCTCCTGGACCCGGAAGTGCCACCACCTGCAGGAGAGGCCAGGATGGGGATGAGCAGCCACAGGTGGGTCTGGGACCACACAGACAGCATCCCTGCCCAGCCTCTCACCAGGGCCTCTTCACGGAGAGTGCCTCTTCCTTCATGAAGCCCTTCTGCAGCATCCATTTGTCACTCAAGAACTTGGACCTGTGGAATCAGAGTGTTACCATGGTCCACCAAGGCCTGCCATGTTCCCGTATACTGAGGGGCACTACGTGCTGGGGTCTGGCATGAACTCCAGACACACCCTGACTGGAATTGTGGCCAGCGAGCATCCTATCCACCAGGCTTGGGGCCTGGGGGATTCTGCACCCCAAGTCCCCTGGGGTCTCTTTGCTGCTCTGCCCCACCTAGCACACATTGCACGCCAGCCAAGTGCACAAGGGAGGTGGGTGTTCTCCAACGCTGCCTGGCAACCTGGCAGGGGCATGCAGATGTGAGTCACCTGACCTGGGAACCCACGTGTGAGCAACCAACAGGGCAGCCAAGGTCAGTCCAGAAACAGATGGGGAGGCCAGGGGGCTGGGAATCCCATCCCTCCCTGTGACTTAGCACTGGGTGACAACAACTTCCTAGTGGCAGCGGAGAAATGTAGACATTGGCAGGAGGACCAGAGCAGCCTGTCACCCTGTGAGTCCAGACCTCAGTGACTAGTGTGTCACAGCAAGTCCTAAGGGACCCTGGCCAGGGTTGTCCCTCAGCTTTCCTGGAGCATGTGGGCAGCCAGTGGGAAGAGCAGTGAGGACAGTGACCCAGCTCAGAGATCTCAGGGGCAGTGACAGCCCCTACAGGCTGGGGCAGGAAGGCGGCTGGAGCGGTGCTACGGCCGTCCTCCATGGACACTGCTGTCCACCTGGGTGTCACGGCAGACATGTGCGAAAACTCTGTAAGGCCTGTGATGAGGTGGGGCTGGCAAGCACACTAGGTCCAGCTGTCCCATCCCTTCTTCTTGCTGGGCTCTTAGTGGAGGCTGTGCAGGCAGCAACCTTGGCCAGGAGGGTCCTGGCCCAGGGGACCAGGGGCGCCTTACATGTAATTCCGCACGGAGTCAGGCAAGATGACCACACAGCGCTGACCCTCCTGAAGCTCCTGGGCAGCCTTCACGGCTATGGCCATGACACTTCCGGAACTTCCGCCTGCCCAGAGCCCTTCAGTTAGACTCAGGTGTGCACCCAGGTGCAAGCACATGTATACGTGAAGTGTGCACACATCCACTGTGTACACATGAACCTGTTCTCCAAGGCTCTGTGTGAACCAGCCCCAGGAGGACCCATCCCTTCCACATCCACATGGGCTCTCAGGTCTTGTGACTCCATGTCCCCAAGGGAACATGAAGGCCTGGAGAGTCCTGAGGCTCCCGCTGGGAGAACTGCTGCCAGGTAATGCCCAGGAGGTTCTAGGTCCACAGCAGATATCCCGGCCCTGAGCTGAGTACCAGGGACAGCCTGTGGTCTTTCACTGCCCAGCTGAGGGCTTGCCAGGCAATGCTAGTGCCACCTTATGCAGTGTCCAAGCAACACTGAAGCAGGGTGCTGCAGCTGCTTCCCAGAGTGACCAGGAGCTCAGCCTACAGAGGTGGGACAGAGCCCAAAGTTCTAACCACTGTGAGAGCACAGCCTTTCTCTGCTAAAGGAATGGGGCCCTGTGGCCCCAAAGACCTGTGGCAGCCTGCAAGGCCAAGGTCTGACGCTCTTAAAGATGGACACAGGCTTCTGAGGACCTGGAGCCCATAGAGCACAAGGTCCCTGTCCCTAGCACAGTTCTGGAAGTTCTTGCTCGATAGGCACTTGGGCACAGTCCTCCCCAGCCCCAGGAGTTCCCCGACAGGCACAGCATGTGACACTTTCAGGGTACATTTGTGTGGTCTGCCATGCACCACAGAGCTAAGCCAAAGTGCTGGGGCCTCTCTACCACGAGCAGAGCAGGGAGCTCAAGCCCAGACAGGCCTCAGGCTCTACAGAGAGCTGAGCTGATGAGAGGCATGGACTCAGCTCCGAGGTCTGCACGAGTGTGCCTGCCCACTGCTGTCCCCACGGGCCAGCCAAGGACTGCACTCACCGCATAGCAGCCCCTCTTGCGCGATCAGCATGCGGGCAAAGGCGAAGGACTCCTCGTCGTTGCTTTTGAACCACTTGTCCACCACCTTGGCGGGACCAGGCCACCTCAGATGAACTCTGTCCAGGCAGCCCCAGCCATGATCCCAAAGGGCACAGCCCAGCCCCGAGGCCCAGACTCCTGGCTGCTAGCCTGGGTCTCTCTGCCCAACCTGTCTGCCAGCCCTACTTCGGCCCACTTCCTGCAGGACCAGGTCCTAAGCATTCCCCCAACCTCACTCTCACTTGCCAGGCCACCCTCGGCTACCCTTCCCTTGGTGCCCTGACTCTTTGCCCACAGCAGGAGGGATGTGAATTTCATTTACCCCATCTCCATTTCAACAGGGCCACTGAACCAGCCCAGGCATCTGGGCTCACTAGATGCAGAGGCGGGATAAAGCTCATACCTTCTGTCAACCTACCGTCCGATCTAGCACAGTGGGGATAAAGTCGTAGCCAATGCCTTCCACCTCATAGGCCGTCCGCTCTGTCTGGTTCAGCTCCTCAGGCTCAGCGAGGATGGACCCCTCAGGATCCACTCCAATGATCTGCAGGGTGGGCAGCTTTAGGGCTCACTCTGGGGATGAAGTCACCAGGACATGTCCAGCCAGTATTACACACGTGCTGGCCATGACCTGCCCATGGGATGCAAATGTTGCTCAGAGGCAGCATGAGGCACCCAGGGCCCACACCCAGAGCATGAGGGCTGTGTGACCAATCTTAAGCCACATCCACCCAAGGAGTCAAAGGACCTCCCAGGGCTCATGTGGGAAGGGCACCCACAGAGACAGCAGGAGCCTTTGGAGACAAGCATAGCTCTGGGCACTAACTTCTTCCCTAGAGGGTGGCAACGCTATCCCAAGAGAAGACAGGCCACCCACCCATCTACCCTGAACCCAACTCCCTAAGTCCCCAGTGGGACAGACTCAGGACACAAGCACCCCTAGGCAAATTTACATTCCCAAATCAGCACATGATGCCTCCAGACCTGGGTCAGGGGCCACCTGTCTATCACTGGGTCATGTGGCTCTCAATGTCATGAGATGTGGGGTTCCCCATTGACCAGGCCTGCTTCCAACCCCCCCAGGTGTGACACATGCTAGCCAGGACAGTGGTGCGACCTGGGTAGACACAGTAGGAAGAGGAGCTTCTGGTTCTGAACAGGGGCCTGACGCCAAGGAGCCGCTGCTGTCCCCTGGGCATGGCGGAAGCCACAGTGAGAAAGCTGGTAGGTCCAGCCCTGCCCCACTCCCGGCTGGGCTGGCTTTTCCAGGGCCACTTACTCTGCAGCTGGGACACTTCTCCTTCAGCTTCCGGGCAATGCCCGTGATGGTGCCACCCGTGCCCACTGAAGCCACCAGCATGTCCAGCTTCCCTGGTGGAGGGGGAGCATTCTCAGGCCAGCCTGGACAGCACAGTGCCACACAGTGCCACCCATGGGTGCAAATACACCCACAGGCAGGTGAGCAAGCTCAGATACTGCTCATTGCAGGCTCTGGCTTGAGCTGCGGCATCAACTTCAGCACCGGGCAGGCAAATCTGAACCAGGTGGTGTCCTGTGTCCAGACAGACTGCTGCTGCCTGTAAAGCTACTGGGCTAACACCAATGCTGATCCCAGGCCAACCAGATTCCAAACAGGAGGCCAAGGAGCCAACCTCTCAGCTGGTGTGCCCCTGCGGGATGAGCAATGAGCACATTCAGGGAATCTCATACAGACACAGAGGGTCAGCTCACTGTGCCTCACCACCCTTGAACATCATAGCTACATGGACCCCCCAACTGAGAGGTCAGTAGCTGCCAGGCCCTGGACCTGCAGCAGCTCCTCAGGGCTGGGGGATGGGCTGGGGGCAAACAGTTTCAACAGGTGTCTGTTACTAAGGCACAGACAGAGGCCCAAAGGAGGGCGGGACACTTCCACTGGGTTTTGAAGGGCGAAGAGGCTCCCAGACAGCCAAGGATATGGGGCAGGAGGGGGCGGTACACACCATCACACTGCTGCAGGATCTCTTCAGCCGTGGTGTCGTAGTGAGTCAGGGGGTTGCTGGCGTTGCGGTACTGTGCAGGAGAGCAAAGGGGTGAGGCTCGGGAGACAGCAGCGTTACTTGCAACAGCACAGCCACAAGGCCACCTGGCAGAGAGGACCCCAGCAGCCCAGGGAGGAGCAGGCTGTCCCCTTGGGCCACCTCAGGACAGTTCTCCAGACCCACAAGTCCAGGGGTAACCAGGATCGAGGCAAAGGGCTACCCCACCTGAGGCCGCTGAGCACAGCTCAACTACCAGCCTGGATCACAGCAAACCCAGAGGGGGCCGCCCCAAGAACACGCCCTTCTAGGGCATAAAGCCAGCCCCCAGAACCGGGGTGTCACCTGATCTAGTATGTGCGAATTAGGGATTTCATTCTTCAGCCGCCATGCCACCCCCACATGCGACTCAGGAGAGTCGAACCTGGCATTGGTGGGGGTCCGCACGATCTCAGCCCCCAAGGCCCGCAGCATATGCACCTGCCGAGAAACAGCACCAGGGGCTTGGCAGGCCTCTTCTCAGCCATCCTCCAGTCGGTCCTGCCCCCAGCCAGGTCCCGCCCCAGCTCACCTTCTCCATGCTCATCTTCTCTGGCATCACAATGATGCAGCGGTAGCCCTTCACAGCTGCTGCCAGCGCCAGTCCGATCCCTGTGCACAGCACACAGAGGGTGAGAAGGGCCCAGCACCTGAAACCCTTCCTGGGACAAGGCCCAGAGTACCGACCTCCCTGCCACCTGGAAGGTCCAGGAGGACCAACACTCCAAGCCCAGCTGTCTAGGAACAGAAGGACTGCCATTCCGCCACCGCCCAGCAGGGATTAGACCCAGGGATCTAGTCCTGCACCCCCTGTATCACTAGGACAAAAGCTGCGCCCAGGGTCAAGCTACCCTGGGCACCCACCTGTGTTCCCAGACGTGGGCTCGATGATGGTGTCACCGGGTTTCAGGGTCCCATCTCGCTCAGCATCCTCGACCATCCTCAGGCTGATGCGATCCTTCACACTCCCACCCGCACTGTAAAACTCACACTTGGCCACTGGGGACCAGAAATGATTCACAAGATGAGAACTGACCCCAGCCGGTTCCCGCTGATCCCACCACCTGGTTCAGTGCTTGTCAGTCAGAGCACAGCCACCTGTCCATACTGCCTCCCTCCTCTGAAGTCGGGTGCCTACTGATCACAGTTGTTACCCCACAGCCCACTAGCCCTGAAGACCAAACAGCATCTCAGGGAATGAGAAGGCTGCACAGGGAGCCCCACCTGATGAATGGGCCAGAGAATGTTTCCCCAGGTGAGGATGACCCAACAGTCACAGGAAAGGCTTGCAGGGGCAGCCTGACTGGAACCTCCAACACAGCACAGCTACCCGCTGCACCCAGATGCCAGCCACAGTGCTCTGTGCCCTCATCCCCAAACCCCTTCCTCACACCATTGGCCCTAGTGTCCTCACCTAGAGGAAAGGCCCCTCCTCACAGAAGTCATTCTTTTCTTTTCTTTTCTTTTCTTTTTATGTATTTAATACAGGGTCTACAGGGTCTCAATACGTAGACTGGACTTGTAGTGATCCTCCTGTTTTCAGCCTCCCAAGTGCTGGGATTACAGGCATGCACCACCACGCCCAGTCTCAATCACCATCAGGCTGGTACTGCACACCAGGGATCAAACTCCCCGGAGAAGTCATTCTTATAGGGAGGGATCCTGCATTGCACCAAAGCTGATCTTAGTACCCTAAACACCCACAAGCTACCTCCCTTGGCTTGGCTCTCTCTCTCTCTCTCTCTCTCTCTCTCTCTCTCTCTCTCTCTCTCTCTCTCTCCCCATCCCCTTTTTCTTTGGCCCTTTCTCTTCTTTTCTTTTTTTCTTTTATTCCCAATACTAGGGTTGAACCTAGGGCCTTCCTGAGCTATATTCCCAGCCTTTTGCATTTTGAGATGAGGGTAGGGCTCTAACTCGAGATCCTCCAGCCTCAGCCTCCCACAGGGCTGGGATTAGAGGCATGTGCTGCCACACCTGGCTTTATCCTTCTTTTTGAAAACCACCAGACTTCCCCAGAAATGAGCAGAGGTGCGATGCGCCTGGCCCTGCTGCATCTCCCCAGTGACAACATCAAAACTACCTGAGCTGGGCTGTCTGTTTGGAAAGTGGGCACACAAGCCCACCCCAGCTGCTTCAGCCTTCATCCTCATCCAGTGGTGACCCCCCTCCCTTCTTCAGAGATGCAGGGCGGGGGGAGAGGAGGACCAGGCCTCGAGGCCCCGTCTGTGAGCCTCCAAGCTCCCAATGCTAGAACTTTGGCTCCCTCGAGGCCCAACCTGAGCCCTAACCTGACTCCCACTTTTTTTGTGTGTGGCTTTATTTATTTATTGTTTCTTTTTTTAAATTGAGAAATAAATATGAATGAGACAGTTTCACAGCTGATTAATAGGACAGTTTTGATAGTCAATACACTGTACATTGTTATCTTCTTAGTGGTTATCCATAGTACAAGAAGCAGACAGGATATCCTGTCCAAACACTGTTAGTACACCTCTTTCTTCTCATTGAATTAAGAGAAAGTAGCTGTAAATTTATCCTAACTATTTTGTATATATAAATACAAAATGATCTTTCCTTTGTATCCTTTTTTTTTTTTTTTGTCCTGTCAGAGGTGAATATTCTATTGGCATCTAAATACTATAGGTGTTTGAATTCAACTAAACAATCTAACACTGCTGACTCCCACTTGAAGGACCTCTCTTTGTCCCCCAGGTGTCTTGAGTAAACATGTCCCAAACGAAGTCCCTGGTGCCCTTGCCTCTCCTCAGCCCACAGGACACCATGAGCCTACTCCTTGCCAGCCCCTCCTGGTCCTTGGGGCTCTGGTGATGGGGCTGCTGGGCCTGAAAGCCTGCTCTGAAAATCTTCATGGACCATCCTTTAGGCCAGCCCAGCCAGTTGGAGGGGGCCCTCTATCACCCCAACACCACACCCTAGCTTTTTCTTCCCACAGGGAACCTGAGTGAAGTGCTTTTAACCACTAGAGCTTTTCAGCCCCTCCTCCAAGCACCCCCAGGGCCTTGGTCACAACCTAGCCTAGAAGTGGGGGAGGAGAGGGAAGATGGGGATGGGGAGGAAGGGGGGAGGAGCGCTTCCAATACTCACAGAGCTCACACTTGAGGCCTGCCTTCTTCCCGATCTTATTGATTCTGACCATTGGGGTGTTCCCAATGTTGCTCAGAATATCTGGCAGAATTTTTGGAGATTCTGGCCTAAAACAGAGAGGAGTCCGTAATATTCAAGTAACAAAACAAAACAACAGTTAATCCTCCCTTGTTTGCTTTGGCTGTCCTTTGCCACCATGAGCTGTTTCTCCTCTGTGATGCCCCTCTTGCAAGCCATCCTGCCTTGCAGTCAGCCATTTATGGACTGAAACCTCTACAAACTGTGGGATAAATACTCCCCTCCCACTCCATAAAAAAGTAACAGTTAATCCACTTTGGCAGTCCATGCATATTTTTAAAACCAAGCACCAAAGTATTGGCTATAAGAAGGGATCTGGCTGGTCACACAAACCCATGCATGGGATAAAGTGACACTGTAAACACATCTAAACACACATATGTGCACCCAGAAAACTCAAATAATAAAAGCCGGGTGTTATGGTACACACTTGTCCTCCCAGCACTTGGGGAGGCTGAGGCAGGAAGACCTTAAGTTCTAGCCCAGCCAGGGCAACTTAGTGATTTAGTGAGAGCTTGTCTCAAAACAAAAAAATAAGCCAGGCACAGTAGCACATACTGTAATCGGGAGGCTGAGGCAGGAGGATTTCTGGGAATCTGAGGCCAGCCTGGGCTACATAATGAGTTCAAGGCCAGCATGAACTGCAAAAAGAGACCCTATCTCAAACAAACAACAGGATTAAACATTCAAAAAGTACTGAGGATGCAGTTCAGTGCAGAGGCCCTGAGTTCAACCCCCAGCACCACAAAAACAACCCAGATATCGTGATGCTGTGGTCATTGTTGTGTTAAAATTATTTACTGGTGAAAATGTTAAAGCACACGTTGAGTTTGAGCAGAGACTGAGGTTCTTCTCATTAGAAACTTATTTCTGGAATTCCAGTCCTCCAGTTCCTGCATCTGAGTGAGACACCTCTAGTCCTGTCCTTTTGTGGCCAGCCGCTAGAGCTGTGACTGCTCTGTGGTGACTACACCCAGGCAGCCCTTGCTGAATGAGTTGGTGATGGTGCCCACAGCTCAGGCTTTATTCAGTGACTTAACAAGGCAGGCTGTCCCCAAGAGCTACCTGCTCACATCTTTTCAGTGACTGGTCAGGTATGAGTGCTTGGGCACAACCACCAATCGTTCAGCAAGGGCTGTCTCATGTCCCTATCTTGCTGGGCACTGACCTAAGTGCTGGGCTGTGCAGCAGACAGCCTCAGCCTCTTTGGGCCTGCCTGGGTCTCTAAGGTGATCCAGGAAACCCAGGAGATCCCAACGAGGACCCCACCCTGCATCCCCTGGCTCTGCGGCTTCCAGGTATCACAGTCTCCCACCACCCAACAATTGTGGCCCAACACTTCAGCTCCTAGGTGCAGATCCCAAAACCAGAAGCAGGTATTTGGGAACCCATGGGCACAGCAGTACCATTCTTCACATTGCCACCAGGTACTCATTGTATCTACCACTTCTAGGATAAACAACAGAGACTCACAGGTTGGTGTGGTGATGCGGGGAGTCAGTGACGGGCCTGCCCAGGTGCCAGGTGCACCTGCTCGGGGTGTCAGGCCGGATCCATAGGCGCTCCTTGTCCCCTGTGTGCCCCCCTGAGAGGCGGGAGCATGCTGTAGGGCCGCCCTCTGCCTCGGGTGTCTCTGAAGGCATGCTGGATCTGTGTCTGGGAGGGTGAGAGTTCAGGTTGTGGCTGGCCAACTCCAGGGACTCCGGGTCACCCAGTTCCAGGTAAGAGCTGGCTCAGACACTCTGACTCCACTGCTCCTCTGCAGCTTGGCCCTTTCCCAGGATAAACATAGGACTACCCTGTGGCCCAACAATTCAGCTCCTGGGTGCAGATTTCAAAACTGGAAGTAGAGGGGCCGGGGAGTTGGCTCAGTGAAATAAGCACTTCCTTGGCAAGCGCAAGGGTCTTTTTCGGTTCCACCAAAAAAAAAAAAAAAAGCTCAAAACTGGAAGTAGATATTTGGAAACCCATGGGCACAGCAGTACCATTCACTGCAGTCAGAAGGTGGAGCAACCCACAGCCACCAATGGGTGATAGATATGCAAACATATAGTCCACCCCTGCTATGGAATATTATTCAGCCCTAAAAAGGAAAGGAGTCCTGATATGTGCTACATCATAAATGAAGACATCACAGTATGAAGTCAATCACAGAAAGGACAAGTATTGTGGGATTCCATGGTCTGTCATATATGAGTACCCAGAACTAGAAAATTCGAACAGAAAGCATAGAGAGCCACATGTGGAGCAGACCTGTAATCCTATGCACTCAAGAGGCCAAGGCAGGAAATTTCAAGGCCAGCTTGGGCAACTTAAGGAGATTTATCTCTAAGTAAAATGAGAAAGGGGACATAGCTCAGGAATAGAGCACAGAGTGTTTAGCATCTGTGAGACCTTAGGCTCAATTTCTAGAATCACTGGAAAAAGAAAGGACACAGTTAGGTGAGGGGAGGCAGAGCAGTTGTTTAGTCGTACAGAGGTTTAGCTGGGAATGATGAATGGCAGTGTACAGGGACAAATGACACCTATAACCCCCTCTCTGCACTCAATAGTTCTACATCCTGGGATTGGACAAGCAGATGAGAAACATTCAGTGGGAGAGGGTCGCCCAGCACACCGAGCCTGGGTTCCAGCCCCAGCACCAAACACTCACACCCAGAGAAGAGCGTGTGTGTGCTGAACACATGCAGACAGGCGTATACTAGGGCTTGTGAGCAATCCAGAGAAGGCTGGAAGCGCACGGGCATGTGCGCAGGCTTGTGAACTCTGTACTGTTGCAAGTACTGTTTGGGGTCCTTTGGCCACACCCCAATACAGAGGGGCCGTGTATTTACCCACAAGGCTTTTTGTTTCTTTGTGTGTGTGTGTGTGTGTGTGTGTGTGTGTGTTTGATGAAGAGTCTATGTAGTTCTGGTTGGCCTTGAACTCACTGTGTAGTCAACCCTGACCTTGAACTTGGGGCTAGTTTCCTGCTTCATCTTCCTGAGTGCTAGGATTACAGGTGTGCAACAGCATGCCCAGCTCACCCACAGTTTAAAAAAAACTTTTAAACCCTAAAACACAACAAAGAAAAACAGATCCTCCTACTCTTCCCAAAGGAGGCCAACTGCTCGGTGCCCAAAGAGGGCACTCCCCCGCCACAAGGCTGACGAGAAAGCAGTGTGGACACAGCTTGCTGCAGACACAGGTGGCCCTGTGCTCAGTTTTGGCATTTAGCCTTGCCTGGGCACAGTCCCCAGGACATGAGATTAGGCATCTTGGAAAATTTGAGAGAGAGACAGAGAGAGAGAGAGAGAGAGAGAGAGAGAGAGAGAGAGAGAGAGAGAGAGAGAGAGAGAGAGGCAGGAGGCTCCTAGGGAATCCTTCCTGGGATGTGTCTCCCCTTCTGGGGACACTGTATGAATGTCGCCAACCTTCATCATACAGGCCTGAGTTGGCCCCTCTGCAATCTCTTCCTCCAACCTCACATTCAACAGGCAAACCCAGTCCCCAGCTAGTCACCAAGTCACTCAGCACATTGCTGTCTCAGGACCTCACTGTGAAAGCCTGAAGGAGGTGGGAGGGGAGGCTGTCTCTCCCACAGAAAGGGATGGCAGGGCAAGGAAGGAATGGGGGAGCAAGAGCCTCCCTTAGCAATGCTGTTTGCCTACAAATCGTTGCAATTTTGCGATTCACGGGGGAGAGGGCACCTGGGAGGCCTTGGCATCTGGAACCTATCAGAGACCCTACTTTGGACCTAATTTTTCCCAGAGAAATGCGCCCATTTTCAGGTTTTCGAGTCCCTCCAGAGACACCCAACGCTGTGACCGTCCTCCTCCCCAACTTTAACAAGCCCAGTGTAAGCGGAAGAGCCCATCCGATGGCACCCGCACTGTTTTCAAGCCCTGGAAGCCCCTGCACCCGCAGGCGGGTCCCCCCACTCCGCGGAACCGAGCCCACCCGCGGCTCCGGCTCCTAGCCAGGCATCCCGGGCAGTTGTCCCCTTGCCGCTCTAGGGCGCCCCGCACCCGTCCAGTGAGGCTCGGCGGGCGGGCCGAGCTAGTGGTGCCCCTTGGAGATCTTCAGGTGGGAAGTCGAGGCCCCATGGAGCCCCAGGGAGGGCGCCGGGAGGGTCTGCAATGCACTGAGGACCTGCAGGGCCCCGGGGAAACGGGCGCACGCCCCGCGGAGCTGGGGAGCGGGGGGATGTCCGAGGCTGGGTCGCGGTGGACGCCGCGGTCGCGGTCAGGTACCTGCTCCGCTTGCGGGGTCTAGAGGGTGCACCTTAGCACCGGGTGGGAGTGTGCACCAGGGTGACCGCGGACCTGGGCATGGACCTCGAGTGGGTGGCAGGATCCAGGTCGGGGTAGGGGTCAAGGGCTCACCTGTGCGCAGGGCGGGGATGGTGAGGAGCAACCCAGACAGCTGCGGAGCGAAGGCTTCGACCCGAGCTACAGTGCTGTCCTTACCACGCGGGGGTGGACGCGATTGTCCCGGCGCCGGGGGCGGAGGCCCTGCACCAGCCAATCCAAGACGGAGGTGCCCGCCCAGCCCCTACCCACCCACCTGGCCGCCCCCGCCCCCACCCATTTGCCCCGCCCCTACTCCCTCACTTCTGGCTGTTCTTGACCCTAGCTGCCCGCCTGCCGGATCTTCCAGCCACCCCTTCTCATCTCATCCCCATCCTGCTCTCACCTCATCCCACTCCCCATTTCACTCCCGCCTTGCCCCGCACCCACTTCCACCTACACACTGCCTCCTATCCCGCCCTCTGGAGCCCCAGTCTGGACCTGACCCCTGCCTGAGCCTAGGTCCCAGACCCCTGACTTCCCAACCCGCCTTCTCATGGGCGCTGTGTCCTTGCAGGACTTGGGCCATCTGAGCAGCCCCTGCCCTTGGGGTTTAAAAGCGGGTGTGGAGCGTACCTGCAGTCACAGCAGCGGAGGGACTGAGGCAGGAGGATCCCAGTGAGTTAGAGGACAACGTGGGCTACACAATGAGTTCAAAGCCAGCCTGAGCTACTGTCGTGGTTTGGGGTGTTTGCAGGGGGAACAATATAATACAGGACTCATTTTATAATATTATTTTATAAGAGATCACCCAGAATCATATACAAGAAGTGCAGAAAAAGACCAAAAGTCAGTGGAAGCTAGGAAGTCTGTGGCAGAAGGGTGAAGGATCTATACCATCAGGCTAAGGGATCTGAACTAGAGTCAGAAACCAACACTAAAGGTAAGCACCAAAGCTCTGCCAAAAGAACCACAACTGTCCTTAGCCACAGTGAGGTCTTGAGCTCCTCCTGCTGTGAGGAAAGCTGAGTTCCCATCAGGAAAGCCAATGAGACAAGCTTCTCCACGAGGCCGAGCAGTGCACCATCTTGCCCTCTGGAGCCAGGAAGCGATGCTCAAGAGGAGGACCAGAGCTCCGCCAGAGTTCATCAGGAAAGCCAGCATGACAAGGTCCTCCAGCAGAATGGCTCAAGAGAACTAGGGGCTTCCAACAGCTCCAACAGCTTCTCCAAACAGCATCCCTAACAGGGTTTCAGCAACTTCTCCTATTCTGCTTTTTTTGGTTGTTGTTGTGCTGGGGATTGAACTCAGGACTTTGTACTTGCCAGGCAGGTGCTTCTGCTACCGAGCTATCTCCCCAGTTCCCTATTCTGCCTTTTATGCTGCTGGCAGTACCCCTCAGGTGGCATCTCACACCCAGCACCATGCTCAATCAATTCAGCTAAGTGTAGTAAACTAACCGCCAGTTATGTAAGGAGACCTTGTCTCTCTCTCTCTCTCTCTCTCTCTCTCTCTCTCTCTCTCTCTCTCTCACACACACACACACACATACACACACACACACACACACACGTAAAAAAGGGAGAAGGGTGAGACCAGGGGAGGAGGGGGAAGGGGAGAGCAAGACCAGAGAGGAAGAAGAGGAAAGAAGGAGGAGGAAGAGGAAGAACAATGGGTTTGTGGTTAGTTCAGGACCCGAGGCTTTATGAGGGATTCCAGTCCCTCCCGCAGTCCTTAGGTGGCTGGCAGGTGACAGTACTCTAAGGCGACCCAATATCCCTAATCCTAAGCATTACACTCCAAGGAGCTAACTTGCTATACTCCAACCCATGGCTGATGGGTGGCCCTTGACCACCTAGGATCTAGGAGGAATGAAGATGACTGAGGTGTGTGGGAGGGTGGGAGGGTGGGGGGTTCTGATAGGACAGCACACATCAGTGAGCAGTGTGGGGATAGTCCCTTGGCACGGTGACTGTGCCAGCTCTGGGAGGAAGGTCTGGGCTAAACACCACCGTGGCAGGTGTGGAGATAGGGTCAGAGCAGCAGAAGGTTAGCAGGCTGGACGTAGCCAGGTCAGGACAGAGTGCGGGCCAAGGCCAGGACCTGAGTTTTAGCTGAGTGAACTGGGGGAAGGGTTTCCAGCTTTGATCTGCTCTGAACTTTTATTTTCAGGCTAGGGATGGAACGCCACTCCCCAAGCCTCTTAGGAAGTGTGCTACAATCCTTTGAATTACTATTATTAATATTATTATTTTAGGTGCTAAAAGTATAGAGAACAGAAGGGATTCCCAGGCACTGTCTTCCCAGGGTCTCAGTGTTAATGACCCCTCAATCTCTGGCCCCTGGAAGGGTGGCTTTATTTGGAAATCACACCTTTGAGAATGTAACCCAGTGAGAACAGAGCTTATTGTTGGGTCAGGGCCAATCGATTGTTGCTCTTGGAAGAGAGGGATTTGGATGCTGGGAGGGAGGAGAGCCCTTGTGAGGACCCGGGTGGCTTAGTTGAGTCAGGCTGGACCAGATGCCAGGAGCTGTCCTGGAGCCTTCAGAGAGAACCTGGGTGGCTACTAGTCAAGGAGGTGGGGGGTGATAAATGTATGTTCAAAGTTTCAGCCACTCAAACATTTGGTAATCTGTTAAAGCAGCCCAGATAGTTACATGTTCAAAATTTTTTATGTAATTTCAGCCAGGGGTGATGGTGCATACTTATAATCCCAGTACTCTGGGAAGTGGAGGCAGGAGCCTCAAGATTACAACCTGGGAAATTTAGTGGCTTAGCAATACTCTGCCTCAAACTGAAAAGATCTGGGAAGTAGCTCAGTGTGAAAGCCCTGGATTCAATTCTCAGCGCCACTCCTTACCCACCAAAGAAAAGAAAAAAACAAAACATGATTTTGGCAAGAACAGTGTGAAGTGTTACTGAGTCCCATTATCAAATTCTCCAAATATTAATATTTCTGATATTGCTCTTGGAAGAGCTGTCCCTCTCCACACCACGCCCTGTCTGTGTGGTTTCTGTGTCATCCCAAGCAATGCTTTTTTACCCCTCATTTTCTGAAAATAAAGAATCATGGTCCATACCATTGGGGTTGGGAGCCAGCACTGCGGTGAGACCACCTCTGCCCTCCAGGCCCTACACCTTGCCACTGGCCCCTGCAGTACCCCTCCCAGCAAATCCCCAGAGGAGCGCTGTGATCAGGGGTCCTGGTTTTCATCCCTAATATTTATGACAATTCCTTAGTCTCTCCTTGTATTTCTAGGCATCCGCAGAGCTGGAGCATTACAGGCTGGACATTGTAAAATATTTTTGACTTTGACTTGGCTGATATTTCCCACTGGATGAGGTATCTTGTGTAGGGGGGGACTGGAGACTGAGCCCAGGGATTTCATGGTGAACTACATCTGCAGCCCTTCTTATTTTTTACTTTGGGGTAGGGTCTCTCTAAATTGTCTAGACTGTGCTCAGACTTGCAGTCCTCCTGCCTCAGCCTCCAGAATGCTGGGATTACAGTGTGCACAACCACGCCTTGCTGGGATGATGCACTTTGGCAAGAGAGGCTGCCAATCGGTGTCAGGCTCACACAGCCCGTCTCCTTGATGGCTACATTAACTTTGGTCCTCTGGGTAAGGTGTGGCTGTCAATTTTCTTCATTGTGAAGTTACCAGATTGCTACCTGTGATTAATAAGTATCTTATGGGAGACTTTATAACCCTGGAGCTCTGCTGTAACTTAGCCACTTTTTACTTTCTTTGTTATGTTTATGGCAGTTGAACCCAGGCCTTTTCACTGAGCTACATCCTCAGCCCTTTTTATACTTTTTATTTGGAGACAGGATCCCAGTAAATTGCCCAAGCTGGGCTAGGACTTGTGATCCTTCCATCTCAGCCTCTCAGATGGCTGGGATTACAGGTGTGTGCCACCACACCTGGTTTATTACTCTGTGTTTAACACTTACTGATGAATTGTCTGAATTTTTCTTAACACAGTTGCTGTGTGGTCACTTCTCTAGGCTCACCATTCCACCCACCTGTGTTCCTGGCACTGCATTTAGGAACAGGACTCTATTTATTGATTTATTGTTATTATTATTATTTTGAGACAGGCCACACTATGCTGTTCAGACTGGCCTTGAACTCACAATGATCTGATGGAGACCGCTATGAAGTGTCTCTGAGGAGGACTTAAATTAACCAGTTGGCTTTCCACTGTTTGCTTGTGAGTCTGTCCAAGGCCTTAGGCAGCTTTTCTGGAGATGAGCAGCAGACCCATAGCAAGGGAACCTCTGTGAGTCACTGGTCCCTGCTGAGGCCTATAATGGTGGGTGAAGCTGTGAAGCCTCAAAGGACAAGATAAGGTCATGGCCAAGGACACCTGGGTCCAGCATCAACTAAATAAAGACTGCATCCTCAGGCATCTTGCTGCTGAAGCATACCTTCCTAGAGTTAGCATAGTAGCTCTCCTAAATTTATGTAATGCCTTACCTGGAGAAGTCCTGGAGTGGTTCCCACTCTTCCTGAGCATTCCCCTCCCTTGTTGTGATGACTAAATAAACACGGACTGCCCAGAGAAGATCTTGATCTTGGCCCTAGAGAATTTCCAATTCTTTGAGAGGGTTTTGATCCTCTTAACACCCTGAAATCATTCCTTTTTTTATTTAGCCTTCACCATCCACTTGTTTGGGAGATTACAGACATGATTGGTCTACAATAACTAAGGGATGATATTAGCCCAATAGTGATCCTCCTATTTCAGCCTCCTGAGTTCTGGGGTTACAGCGATGTGCCACCACGCCTGGCAGAATGGTACTATAGATGGAGACAAGGGTTTTTAAAGAGACAGTTATGCTAAAAGGCGATCAGTGGGACTGGAGACACAGGGAAGACCCTGCTACTGTGTGGTGGATCTGACTGGTAGACTGCAAGTTCTTGTGTGCGCCTAGCAATGAATTGCAAAGCATATACAAGGTGGAGGAAAAGTGGCTATGTTTGTGAAGGTCATGAACAGAAAAGTGGATGGCCAAAAGGCACATTGCAAGCTGTCCTGATAGGTGAGGCTGTGGGTCTCGAGAAAAGACAGGAATGAAAGGGCTCCCGCATGCCTTGGTCTGGGCTTTTGCAGAAGGCTCCTACAGTGACAGTGATGTTCCGAGCTCTGGGGATAAAAGGAAGAGATTAGGGAGGGCTGGCCTGAGGGTGGTG